ACCCTACTTCGGCTTGGGCAACTGGGTAGTATCGCGCCCTCTGACGAAACCATGGACTTTGATGTGTTGTGTTGTATTTTCTTTTATTATTTCTGTACCTTATTTTGAGTTCCATGGTTTCCGATGGCTCAATGTCTATTCACAGACTGTTGCAATATATATATATATATATATATATATATATATATATATATATATATATATATAATGCACGATAACAATGTGCTTAGGCATAGACGAGCGTTTTCGATGCGATTTGTTGTGGCAAGTGTCTTGAGAAGACGCTATGACGTCAGCCAGTCGGCTTTGGAACACGGCGTCACATTCCACAAAGAACCGATGAAGTCGATAGCCAAAATTACAACCGGGAGGAGGACGGCAAACACTAAAGCGACCCGTCCATTCCGCATGCTGCCATCATCAAAGGACTCCTAAAGGGTCACAATGACACACACAAGAAAAACAATTCCCAACGAGGAGGCAGGCAGAAAGATAGCCTCGTCAACGTGGGTAGTTCGGTTTCAACAGACATTGTGCGATAAGGAAGAATTCGTTACCAAACACCGAATACTGCAGTATTTCATAGAAAGTAGAAGTCACGATTAAAATTCATGTACAATAATGTGCCTCGACGAGGAATCGAACCCCGGTTCACGAATTTCTGGTCAGCTGCTCTACCACTGAGCTACCGAGGGCCGACGAGTAGCTGCGCAAATTTTAATACATGACTTCTCCTTGGTGCGCGACGTATTGCCAATGAGGTCACAGTACCTGTCCTGGTGTTGCAGATTGGCTCACTCACCCGTCACTTCCCAATGGACCGAAGTGGCTGTCCTTCGGATGTCGAGTGGGCGATGGTAGATTAATTGTGGATGTTTGTGAGTAGTGTAAAGCCCATAGAAAGTAGAAGTCACGATTAAAATTCACGCACAATAATGTGCCTCGACGGGGAATCTAGCTAAGGCTTTCATTCTTACCACTCCGGGATGAGCATCGTCTAGTTCCTTGAGGATCTGTGAAAGTGTCTTCACAGGAGGGACCAGCCGAGAGCCCTAAAAAGCAGTCATAGAATAGGCTCAGTTCGTTCTTGTGAATCAGAAACGGCTGCAAACCAACTGTTCCTTTAGAAGACTAACCCACTGTCAAAAATCGTTTCACCATTGACAGTACTGGGTCTCGGTCACTCCACTGACGGATTGTTGCACTTCATATCGGCGTTTTGTCTAAATTTTGCATTAAAATAACCAGTTCAAACTGAAGGTCATGTTGCTGTGTTTTCAGTTATTGGCAGGCGGCTCAGCGCATCGGTTGTGTGGTTGCTGACACCCGTAATGGAAACAAGCTTGTAACTGTGAGCACTCAAAGTTACAGCCCAACGCTGTATTCTGAGTGATGCCATCTGCTGAATACCCTTGGTTTCTCCCAGTAACGATAATAAGGGCGTGTGATCCGTGTGCAGCTCGAAGAAATTCCCCCATAAGTGTAGGTGAAACTTTTTTACCCTGAAAATTACTGCCTGGGTTTCCTTATTAAGTTGTGAGTAGTTTTGCTCGGCAGTTTGTAGGGTACATGATGCAAATGTTCTAGGACGTAAAGAACCGTCGTTTATGCGGTGGCACAGTACAGCCCGGACTCTACAAGGAGAAGTGTTACATTGAAGGATGAGTGGCTTATGGGAATCACAATCTACTAACACTGTTGGTGAAGTAAGAGCCTGCTTAGCCTTCTTGAAGGCATGCCGCTGACTAGAACCCCAACGCCAAGGTCTATTTTGGTGCAATTGTTCATTTAGTGGAGACAGCATCGTAGATGCATTACGCAAGAACCGGCGGTAAGGGGACAGCATGCCAAAGGAGGAACGAGATTCATCAATGTTCTTCGGCTCGGGACTTTATAAAATCGGTTTCACTTTAGCATTTAGAACATGTAAGTCGTGTTTATCAAGCCGGTATCCAAGGTAACAAACGGAAGAAGAAAGGAACGCACATTTGGATTTTCTCAGTTTAAATCCGTTCCGTTCCAACGACAGCGAGTGTACGAAGATGTTTTGTGTCAGAGCGTCCGGAAATAAGAATATCAACCAGATAGACACAGGCAAAAATATGTCCTTTACTAGGTTGTCAATAATCCATTGGAGCAGAACTTACACCAAAAGGCAAGCGAGTATATTGGAATAGTCCCATATGTGTAGTAATCGTAGAAAGTTTAATCGACGGTTCGTCGAGCTCTATCTGGGAGTACGCACGACTGAGATCAAGTTCGGAAAATTTCTAACCCCCTGCCTGTGTTGCGTACAAATCATCAATGCGGGCTAATGGGTACCTGACTAGTAAGGAGGATTGGTGAACAGTCATTTTATAATCACCACAAATCCGTACAGAGTCGTCAGGTTTTGGTCACAGGCACAATTGGTGTTCCTCAGTCTGAAGACTGTACAGGAGTAATAATACCCTGAGTTTGTAAGCGATTTAATTCTTCTTTGACTTTAGTCTTCATAGAGTATGGGAGTGTGTGCGTTTTGATGAATTTTGGCCCATCGCCTTCTTTTAAGTTTATGGCAGTCTGAAATCCTTCCAATCTCCCAAATTTATCGGGAAAAATGGTGGAATGTTGTCTTAGCAAGGCGGCTTCAAGTTGTGAGACCTCAGTGAATGCTTTTACCACATCCAATGTATTCGGGAATGCATGTATCCAGTCTCTTCCTAGCAGATTTGGGCGATTCCCCATGATCACATATGCAGGAAGGTTTTGTATTTGCCAAGAACACATATGGGTTTGTCAGTGTACGTACTAAGAACGGAACAGCAAGAGTATAAGGGTAGCAGTGATTTTATAACACTTTCCCCAATTATTGTCACAGAAGCTCCTCTATCGATCTCCAACTGTACTTTCTATCCTTCAATGTGAAGCTCCAGGATGTATGGCGCTGGCCGCGAATTACGCACTGTTACCGACAAATCGGTCGCGGAACTTGAGCAACAGTTAGCACCCGGGTCAATACAAAAGTCAAAGCCGGAAGAGTTACGGTGCTATTTACAAATGGTTAGACAACAATTTAGTAACAAAACTCAAATAATATCTAGATCAAAATGTCTACAATAATTCGGCTCTCAAATGTAACGTGCTGTCAAGCCAGGCCAAGTAACAGCAACCGTCAACCGATAAGCAAACCGAAGCGAAGCGGTTCCAATGTCATTCAGAGTGGTTTACAACGAAGTGATCAATCGTCAGTCGATGAGACAATGAATAATGCACATGGAACACGGAAGGACAGGTAGATGAGTCTAGTCAACGTTCACTCAGATAATGAAGATGTGTCAGGAACAAGGTTACGAGAGAAGGAATGAGGGATAATCAATAGAGCATGTGACGAGGGGACGTGTAAATGTCTGGATGAAAGTTCGGGGCAGGAAAACAAGGGAATTAAAGACGGCGCATGTGGTATGCTTCAGTGAAATCCGACAAACTGGGATTTGTCGGTTACATGAACAGGTTTCAACCATATCGAAGGTAACTCAGACTCGCTAACATCAGACTCGCCCAACTTTTTGATAGGTTTTTGACCCCGATAAGCTTCACCTGAACGCCCTTTGACCGATCTGCAAACTCGAGCCAGGTGGCCTACCTTCCCGCAGTTCCGACATACGGTCTTTTAATGTCGATGGTCAGATAGACAACTGTGCCGTTCACCACAACGGTAGCACACAAATGAATTGAGGCTAGTGTATGCCCGCTTTATTTTTAAAGTACAGTACACCAATCGCAATTTTTCTAAGGAGTCTTTCAGAGTGAAAGTTGTCAGTTGTTCAGTAAGGTCTTCCCTCTGCCTGGCGATAAAACAAGCTGTCTCCCACGTCAATGATTAATCATCTTGTGAAAGAGGGTTCTCTCGGGTGATCTGGTCTAAAACTCTCGAGATCAGGCACTGGAGTAGCATGGTTTCGTCAAATCTCGGTGGATAGATTTCATTGTATTTACAGTCAGGTACCGCTTGCAGCACACAAGCAATGAAGTGGTTCACACTTTCGTCTAATTTCTGACAGAGTTTGGAGAAGTAATATCTAGCCGTAAAAACATTTTGACGAACACCCCAAAGATCATTGAATGTGTCCGGAGCGCTGGCGATGGTAGGATAGATGTCGTCAATACGGAGAGCGTCGAAATATCTTTGGTCCTCATCTCCAACTGTCGTAAAAGTTTCACTTAGTTTTTCTCCGTAAGAGACACTGCTGGGTTCAAGATTGGAAGCAGTTCCAGGTAAAAAATAAAAGTCTTCCGCCATCGATTCTAAATATACAGAGGTTTGTCGTAGAACAAGCCTAGAAGACCGGTGAAGCATTTACCATAGACATGTTCACCTCTGTCACCAAATGTCACATCTCGCTCCTTAGGAAGAATGAAGACAGCGCGCGTACGGAAACAGTTTGATCAAAAAGTGACTAGGTACAAGTTACGAGAAGTGAAAATAGGTTTTGGTGTGTTTGTGTGTGTTGGACCAATCAGAGTGAGCGCGTAGTCAGCGATCGTTAAGATGCATGTAACAACTACTCCTTCGGTGCTCACCCGGATTACTCAGGCTCTATTCTGGGCACAATCGGGAACAACCTTAAGGATGCGAACATGAGCAGCGATGATACAATGAGTGAATAAAAGTGCGATGTTGGACAAACATGTGTTCCGTAGGTGATTAGCCTCAAGCTACAAGTATGGATTGCGAACAAGATAGGAGTGAGTGTCCTTACCCACAAATAGCTGTGCAGTGAAAGCGCAACGGTGACCCTGTGTGAGCTAGCGGGAATCGTTGGCCCAAAGAGCCGTTGCAGAGTTGCACATCTATGCTGAGGTCGGTTTTGGGTATTTCAACTAGTAAATAGAGAATACTTGATACTGCAACCATACCTGACACTAGAAAATGGATCTCGGGATCAGTTCCTCTGCAAAAAGAAAGATTTAAATGGACAAATCAATACAGCCATGCGACAAGCAAGAGGTCAACATACCACTCGCAAACACCAGACACCTGGCCTTGAGGACCACGACTAGGTTGATAACGCTTGTCTCTGCGTTTTCCGCGATAATTGGCACGCTCACGACGAGGAAGCCAGCGGTCAGGGTCGGGAATGACTCCAGGCTGATAATTTTTCGGAAGACGAACACGGCGCTTTTTCTTACGGCGTGTATTCTTGGTTTGTGCTAGCTGTACAGCCTCGCTGGAAACAGGGAAGTAGAAAATTTGAAAAATTATCGAGGAAACAGTGGCAGGTCAGACAGCCGATGAAGCAAGAAATGAAAAAAACTATTCGCGGGTTTAAAGATGAGCAACCAAGTGACAGTGGAAAAGTTAAAACCAGAATGGACGCAATGGACGGAACGTAGACGATGGGATCTAAGGTGAGCAAAAGAAATTCGCACTCTCCATGGGATTCGAAAAACGACCAGGGTGCGCGATCCCAATGTAGCTGGTACAGCATGGTCAAGTGATATAGTGCAAGCTTGAGCGATCCCACAAAAAGACAGCAGCAAAGAAGGTTCTACACTATCCAGTCGCTGGCTAAATCAGACCAGTCGGCTGTGAACCGGCGCATGATGAGTCGGCCGACTGCACAGCGATACCTAGGTAATGGATTGCTACGGAAAACCAGCGGATCAGATGTAAGTATACGGATGACACAAACTACAATTCCGGAGCACTCTATCGAGGTCACAAGTTAGATTGCGTGTCGCAATCCAAGCCCCACGGCGGGGTCCCGAAACCCAACATTTAACCTCTAACCACTGTAGCAAGCAATGCTCGCGGAGCTAAATGGCCTAGTGATTAGGGTGGTAGCCACCAAGCACTATGCGCCGAGTTCCACTCCCAGCTCGGCTATCACTCATGCATGAGTTCAAACCAGGACGAAACTATCGACCGTGGAGTGCAGGGATGGGAGAGAGCCAGACCGAAACCCTCCACTTTGGTGACGGTCCTAGTGATCGGAATGATACAGACTGACTTCAAAGTCAGCCAAGATCACAACTGAGATTGCGTGTCCCAATCCGGGTACTCTAAAACACAGCAATCAACAAATGAAGCCTGTTAAGCATTCTGACAGCATAGACTGCCGCCCGAACTCCCTACACCATCAGAAAAGCGCGTCCAACGCAGCGGTGAAAGATACCACGAGCGTATCGCATATCAAAAACCTCCCACGCTCCATCCATTCAAATAGATCTGAGTACTAGGTACAGTTTATCACAAAAAGGAACACAATTTCGTGATTCTCCACTTTCCTCGTACGACGCTAGGGCGTGAGTTATTGGTCACCATTGCAAATCACAGTAAACGAAGCATATGGGAAGTACTGACACCATAAACACAGGGAATATACGCTAACGGAAAACGGGAATGCAGTTACACAGTTAGTCGGTACATATCATAATAAAGATCCAAGAATTTTGTGAAACCAAGAGAAAGTTTACGAACAGAGTAAGCAAATCAAGGCGACGATAAGAATTTATGGACGTATGTTGATTGCGTGTTACCAGAACATGATCCAAATGAGCAGATCACGTTCTAATCTTGATTGCAAGTCATGGGAATTGAAAGCGATTGATCGGCTTGCAAGGCGCGATCTGATCACAAAGGCAGTTGGCGAGGTGCAGGAGAAAGATCTCAAGCATGCAGAGAAGAAGCGGCAAGTGCGGAAGCGACAAGCGCCGATGGGTTGTACTCCATCGACCTCGAGCGCATGGTGCTGTAGCACATGCGATCGCGAGTGTCTAAGTCAGGCAGGCCTAATGAGACACGAGCGAGGTCACTCGGGGCCAACACCGAAGCCACGACGAGTTCTGCTGAGAACGTAGTCATAACCGGCGCAGCGTTGGTACGTACGCTGCATTCGATTTAGTAAAAGCGTGCTTGCATGCTAAGTCTCTTTATTGCAGGTGGTGGGTTTGTTATACTGTCGCATAAATGTCTAAGTGGACTATCGTCTACTAACTTGTACTTGTCGCTTAAACTAATTGTAGTTAACTTTGATAACATTTTCGTATTTGTGACATTTTCTTTAGATATATTTTCTGACGCCTTGAACCTATCGCGGAATTTTCGGCAACCAATTTATTTCATATGCTTATTTATTGAAGAGCTATATCAGCATATCTGTAGGCACCATCGATTTCTTTTATTTGATAATGTCCTTTCAAGTGTCTGGCTGTTGCATGACATTCCCGGTGTGGCTGCGCTTGATGTGCATGATGACAAGATGACTAGCTGTCTATTACCCACTACCTCGTCCATACTGGCTCCAGGAGACAGTTGGTCGCCGCTGGAGGAGACAGGGTGCACGGTCCTTGTGGCCGTGCTAGGCTCGAAGAGTGGTTCCATTAACTCAGTGTGGAGCGGACTACGATCCAGCCACCGCCTTGTGTGTGCTTGATGCCCAACTACAGCGTGCTTGTGTTTACCTGTGAAGGAGTGTGGGCTGGCTCCGTTGTTGAAACGTGGCTCCTATCCACATAACTCCCGATCTTATTCCTTCGGGGTTACACTGGAGATGGGGTATGCGGGTGGAGCTGTGGGTGGTGCAGCGCAAGCCACCCATGGTCTCCCTGTAGGCGCAGGCGTCCTATGGCTGGACACAGTGACACGCAAATCCAAAACCGGATGCCGTCAACCATATGCATTAAGTGGGCCGCATACTGAGACTGATGTAATTATGAATCCTCATGGCAGTTGGGCTATAGCGACATACGCTTGTTCCGAAGTACACAATCTCTGACTGAATCCAACTTAGCTGCTCAGTTATGTTGATTTTTTCACATTCGTTGTTTATGTTGCACAATTTTTCTCATTTTTGTTGGTTGATATCCTCTAACTTACACTTGCCCTTACGTAGGTCAGACTTGAAGATTTTGTCTGTTCTTGGTCATGCAGGTTCCCACAAGCCTGGAAAAGCATCAGACAGCTGTTGCGACCTTCTGGGCCTCGTCAGTGGTGTGCGTTCCTCGGCAACCTGTCGGGTTCAGATCCCATGACTTCCAGATGCTAGCAGATTGTGCCACTAGGCCATGGGTGATGGCAGGGGGCCTGCATGATTGACAGTTGACAACGATATAGCGCGGCTCATCCTCCACTGTCCGACCTGTTACTATTTGTACAAGAAACAATGGTTGGCCCAGAGCTACGACTATCTTTGTATTGCTCTGTTATTTCATTTTGTCGCACATTTAATGTCCAGTTTGCGTGTTTATTTTCTTTCATATTCTGTGTTGGTTATTTGATATCCTCAGTTTGGCTGATCTTGGAAGTGGATGTTGACAAGGTGCTTACCTGTGGAAAACCGCAAGCTCGATAATACTGGTTCATTGACACAGGTATTTGTTGTTTGGGAAGGCTAGGCACACGGTTCTCATGGTCGTGCTAGGCAAAAAGAATGGTTCTAAACAGTGTAGAGCGGACTATGGTCCAACCACCGCATTGTGTACGTCTGGTGTGCATGATTCCCAATTTAGTTGAACAGTAAGGTTGCTGCTGTGTATGTTAAAGGAATGTGGGCCGGCTCCGTTGATGAAAGGTGGCTCCCATCCATATGCATCCCGGGTTTACATTGGATATGGAAGGTATGGATGGAGCTGTGGATGGTGCAGCGCAAGCCACCCATTGCCCCTCTGTAGGCGCAGGCGTCTTGTGTCTGTCCCCATGGAGGATGCAGTGACAGACAAATGTGAAATCGGACGCCAACAATCATGGATCAAGTAAGGAGTAACGGCCAACTCCATATCAATCGTGGCTCCCATCCACATACCTCTCGTGTTTAAGTGGGTGTGTCCACGGGGATATGAGCAGTGAGGCACACGCTGCCACCCATGGTTTCACGGTTATGAGCGTGCTATGGCTGTTCGCAACTACAACGACAGGTAAATCCGGAAACGAATGTTATCAACCATATACATCTCCTACTAATGTTTAAGCTCATTTAGGAACTGTAATTATGAAAAATTAAGGGAATAACGCTTTATTGGGCAGAGCTAAGTGATAGGATCAGTGTACAGTGTGATTTCCGAGAGCAAGAACTTGATCTTATGGCTCAAAAAGTCCAGGGATGAGTGATGGTCCGGAAACTTAACTCCATCTGTAAAACTGTTCGTATTCCGGGGTGTAGAAGGTCGGGCCCGCAAACACAACGCCACGGATTCGAATTCCCACTTCAACATGGGTCTAGTAGCCCCCCCAAGTAGCTCAGACTACGTGCGGCCGCTCACGGTAACGTGGAACCGAAGAGTTAGTACAAGGAGGTACTGGTCACTGAACCGAAATATGCACGTTTTCAACTCCGTTAAATAATCAGTTGGGGAAAGCTTAGGCGCATCCTCCATGCTCATCGTGTGAGAAACTGGTTTTAAGAAAGACGCTTCTGAACGAAATAAATAGTGGTAACAGTAACAGTCGTAATAAAATAAAATTCAGATGAGTAATGAGCGACTTTTCCCGTTGTTGGGCCACTGACCACATCGTGAGGTCTGATCCAAAACACAGTAAGCATAGACAACTGGATTGATGGTGAAGCACAAGACAGATGAGACAATGCGTATGAGGGTAAATCTGTGATCCACTAGTCATAACTAGTGAGTCAGGAGCGCATCTGTCTCAGATCTCGGTCCTTCAGGGACAAACGGTTTAATCGGCAAAGCAAGCTCAGCAAAAATGACTGCATGACAAGCATATGGGAACCTCGATGTAAAGAACCAAGTTATATACACAACCAACGACGCTGCTGCACTCATGAGATTCTTCCGCTGAATCAGTTAAACAAACTCACTCCAGCGAACCAATCAGTGCGTAGACGAAATATGCGTAGCCGTCCAAGCAACTGTTCTGTTAGGTCGCGACACGCTAACCGCTTGCTACTCCATAAAGATCGTATCGTTCTTCCGCTTGCACAATCCGACCAAATCCTTCGCTTTTTCGGGATCAACCGCATAGGTGTCGCAGAAGACTCCGTACGCTCTTTTGCTCTGCGTGATCTTTGTTAGACAGTGATCTCTCCGTAAAGCGTCAAGTATTTTGCTGCAGGTTCACCTCGTTCTCGGTATCGCGTCAGCTGCACTCGGTTTCTTCTGAATATCTTCGGCTTAGTACTGACTTCATATGATTCTGCTCCGACATTCGCGATCACTACACCTTTCTTCCAGCGTCCACTGACACCCGGTATTGGTTGAATCCACAGCT